AGCAACCAAAACCGGCGCACGAAAGTGCATGGTTAATGGTTGTTCAAACTGAAAAACTGATCGACTGACACTCAAAATTCCAGGCGAACCCCCAACCTGGAGGACCAGGAGACTGAACTTCGTCTGACCTCTACCCATTGACCTTCGAGGCATGATAAGATCTCCTGGCTTTATAAAGCCAGGAGATCTTATCATGCGTGTGGTCCGCCAAGAAGCCTTTCTGATTCGTCGAGGGATCCCACTTGAGCATTGAAGTCCCCGGCGACCACTACGACGTCCGTTGATTGAGCACTTTGGAGTAGCTGAGAGAGATCCTGGTAGAATTCATCTTTGATTTCAGGTATACTGCGATCTGTTGGTGCATACGCCGATACGACGAATAAGCATCGACGCTTCATTCTGTAGCTGTTGACTCGAACTGAACCGTTGAGACGTACAGCGCACAATCGGCTACTGACTGGAATCCAGTCAAGAAGCGAGCGCTCAGCCTGGGAAATTAGCGCAATCCCGACACCAGCAACACCGCTCGTTGGGTCACAGAGGTGCACAAGCCATCACACCACGTCAAGGCGTAGTCTCGTCGTGATCACATTTATTTGGTCTTTCACCACCTGGATATAATTGATTATCATCAGTGATTTTGAAGGAATAAGTACTTCATGTGGTGACTTCTTCGATTCCCAGATTTCAGTTGCAAGCCAGATAACCCTCCTCCGAGCTGGATTTGGCTATATTGCAGCATTCAGAATTGATGATGTTGAAGCCTCAGAACCATGATTGATTCACAGAGAAAGGTTTTGAGAACACGAGTCGGTGAGCGAGCAATTGTTTTCGGATATTCCTAGTCATGCTCCTACATATAGTGGGAAAAATTCTTACATAATGATGGCTACTGGCTCATTTTAAAGTCAATATTCGGAGGTAGAGAGTAATGGGCGTGTATGTAGGAAAGTTTAACGTGTTAGTTGATGTCACCTTTCCCCACTTGGGTCAAATGACACGTCATGTTCCGTCTTGGTTTTCACACACGGCCAAGGAAAATGGAGCGGCTGCACCAATCCACCACTTATCCCCACCCACCCCGCTCGATGCAGTGGGCAACGCGGTCCTGATTATCCTGCGCGACGACCGATGCAGTATGAAATTATTTTCATTTTGTGTGTGCATTGGGGTTTGGTGGACGGGTACTGCTAGGGTGCCCAAGAACTCCTGATCTACGGTGCGACAATGGGCCGTAGATACGCGTCCTTCGAATGGTTGCGATACACTTACCCCCTTCACACTTGCGGTTTTCAAATTTTTAATCATTGTCCAGCGTTTATCGGCTTATACCGCACCGTTTTCTCATTGTGCAGCTTGGACCGAAAAATGCAAGCTTCTCTTGGCTACACCTCTCCGAGTAAGATGTTTGCTTCCTATTTGGTGGGCAATAACATTCGATCATTGTTTCCAAAACTGTTGGATTTAACTACTTCCCTTCGTTCAAGATTTCACATGAATATATGAGTAGTTGTTAGCCAAGATTCCTGGTGGAATAAGGATTTAGAGGACACCTTGATATTGATGGATGGTCTTCCGGCTCACCAACAGGTTCGGGGAACCGGAGAGAGGATTGGGAACAGCGTTTTGCAACATATCAACGCTTCCTACTGTGGTAAGCCCGTGTTATATTTTAGTACAAGTTGAAAGTTATTGAAGACCTAACTGTGCAATGTCACTCAATATTTTGCCCTTTTATTCACACTTATAGATGACACCTTCGTGCACACAATCAGATACACCCTGTTATTCATTTATACCATTCACGGCTCCAGTTTCCAACTTTAAGTTGAATACAGTCGTTATGGATTTCAACCATAATAATACTCATCCGCATGGATCATTACCCATGACCGATCTTTACTACTTTTCCACAAGAGATAACTTTTGACTATACAAAGTAATCAACAACCACTTAACCCTTTTTTAGCATTGAAACCACCGATTTCTACCATCGACCGCTGTTTTTTTAGCTCGACCAAAAATATATTCACATTGTGCCTATACAACCTTCTATTGATCTGACCACATTATTTTTCACTTTCGCAAATTCTTACCCACAAGGGTTTCTCAATGAATCTCTTAGAAAGGCTTCTTTTCACCATAGTCCTTGTCATTATTCACGGGCGCCACTCAAATAATCAAGGTTTGTTTACAATCAATGCTCCCGTTAAAAGTCTATAAGTGTTTAACAGACGGAGACAAAATATATGTGCATACAAGTTTCAGTGTTCGAATTGCCAGGCGCTTGTCCGGGTTTATCAAAGCTGAAATAAAAGGATCAGACGCAGTATTCTCCGATCGAATACTGTGAGATGGAACAAGCAAATACCTGTGGCAAGGTATCCGGCTCCTCTGTGGAAGGAAGAAAGTACGGTTGAAGCTCGATATCAACTCTCACGCTCTCAGTGCTGCAATCATACGCCGATCGTCGGTCGTTCATTCTACCTACTCGTCAGACATTATCTGTAACGTGGAAACGTTCTCCAATTCTGATGCACGAAAACTTCGAAATGTTTGCAATTCTACCTCTGTTACAGGCCCGGATGAACTACCTCCGATTGGAAGCGTTTCCCAAGCTGATGATTAGATCAGGCAGATCCCATAGTGATTAAAACAATTCTTTATTTGGGGTGAACTCTGCTAAATATCCCGGTGTAACAATCTTTGTTGGTTAAGCCAAATTGACAACTGCGGTTTCTACCACTTCAAATTCTGAAGCCGCGTTTGTTCGATTTATGTGAATGAATTAATTGTAAAACTTTCAGATTATCACACGAATTCTCCTTTCAAAAGAAAGAAAAGATTATCACAGACCCTAACCAGCTTTTGCAAGCAGAATTGACAATCTAGGAATTCCGACAAATGCCAACTCGTATAAACGATTGCCCAAAATAAGTCCGTGAACGTTTATTCACAAACGGAGGGTTACAAGTAAATTTCGTCAGAACCTTGGAACATGAAATGTCTGTATACTGTTTGTAAGTGGACATTTCCCCAATAATTGTGTTTCGTTTGACGGTTGGCATGTGTAGCTCTTCTTTAACTGAAATTTAGGTTTAAATAATGGCAAGTTACACACAATACAGTTGCATTTCCCTATGGAAAGAAAACTGTTGTTTCGCACGAACGGGATGAAGTGAATCGGTTAGTAAAAGTGAAGTGAAACGACGTTTTCTAAAGTGCGACTGAAAAAAAAAATTATTTCATAAATAAATCGCGTGAATAAACCACGTCGGTTGGGATGCTTATTAGAGATATCAAAACTTTCTTATCGCGGTTGCGGTTACTAAAATAGATTAAGCGAGAACGCATGATTATCAATGGACGATGTGTGAACAAGAATGAACGGACTAAATGCAAAAGCTTGCCGAAGTGGATAAGACTCGTTCTTCAGACCGAGTCATGCAATAACCGGTAGAAAACTTGGAAAAGGCAACAACGGCGTTCTGGTTGTCACTTTCGAGCGGGTCATACTTTGATTTATTCAGCGAAATGAAAGTGGGTATATGTATAATCAGATTTGGGGTGCTTACTGATCGCAGTTTGTCTTCCTTATCTGAAGCGGACCCAGTCACGTTGTTACCAGAAAACAATAAAGAAATGAATGGAAAAAAACATTTAATGGTAAAAAAACTAGATACTTTCATAAGAATGCACACACTTGTATACAGGTGTCTACATGTAGTCGGAGGTCGAACATCGGTAGCTTGCATCGAACCCGATGTTTCGGTTTCGAACACAGTGTACCTGACCTGTAAACAGTCCAGCGGAATGTTAGGAAATTCCGATGGATGTGAGAATCAGGAAATGGGAATATGCGCCCAAACTCACACGTCTGAGTTGTAAATATAACACGACAAATGGCAAGTAGAAGACGAAATGAAAAACTCAACTAGAACTAAAACAATAATGCACCACCGGACAACGTAACGTGAAGGGACGATCGACAAAACCGTCAAGTATGATTCATCAGGAGGGTGATGACATTGGTGACAATAATAATGATAATATTAATAATAATAATAACAATAATAAAGTTATTATAATTATTATAAAACCGACACTTACCAACAAGCCAGCTCATACCGTTTGGTGGTTCATTTGGTTGTGGGTCGTGGCCGTTGCATTGGTTCGGAAGCAGCGGGAAACCATTCAGCTCAGCACGACCCGACCGTAGGGCTGACAAGACCTCTATCTCATTGTCAAGCAGATCGTGATTCTGATGGCAAAAACAGAAAGGGAATGAAACATGTCCAACCAAGATTTTCAATGTAAATCGTGTGGAAGACGGAAAACCAGATATGTATCCGGTATAGTGCAACCTTAAATGCGTGCAAACTGGGACAACTTACCAGGCAATTTGATTGTCGGACTGCCGGTCCCAGCAATTCGGCCAGACGATCTCGCAGGGAACATAGTGGTTCAGCCAATTGGTTTGCCGGGGGCAGACACTCTGAACCGAAAGTAAGAGAAGTGATTGTAATGAGAAGCAGCGGGGTAAACACCATCGTGTTCGATAAAGAGTTTAGCAGTCAGCGAGTACCTGACATACTAATTGACAGGCAATCCAAAGCGTGTCACAACAAAAAACCGCGTACGTCCACCACAAGCGCTAACGGAGAGCTGAGAGCATATTCTATTCCACTTCGGTTACGATTATAGTGGGAGCGTGATTGGAACACGAGCATGGAACTGTTATTTAAGTGGTGGTGGTGGTGGTGGGAAGTGTGACATAACGGGAGCATAGAACCCCAAGAAAATATTCGATCAGAATGCCTAAGTGTGCGCGTTCCAAAGGAAGAACGGTGTCACAGTGAGCCAAATACTTGTGTACAGAAACACGGATACCGGACTATTCAACATAGGAACGACACATCGTGAAATGGTCATTCCGCACGTCTCATTCGATCGATAGAT